ACGCGGCCCTGCCGCTGGCCCCAGAGCTGCCACCTGGATAGGCCACCGCCAGCGCCAGCGGTTTCACGTCTTGGGCCTTTAGGTCTGTCATAAGGACGCCCCGCAGGTTGAAGCTCCACACCAGCCGCTCGTCCGCCGCGCTGGCCGCGTTGGCCGCGCCGAGCGCCCAGCAGTCGAGCGCCTCGGCGGACAGCGCCAGCAGCCGCCATGCGGCGCCGCCGCCGCCGGCGCCGGCGCGCAGCAGCAGCAGCTGGCGCGCGGGGAGGCGGCTGGCGGAGGGGCGCTGCACGCGGTACAGCGGGTCAAACGCCTCGCTGTAGAGCGCCTTGACCACTCCCCCGATCGACCCGAGCAGCGCCGATGCGCCGCCAGCGCCTGCGCCACCGGTGCCGCTGCCGCCGCCCGTGCTGCCGTCGCCGCCGCCGGCGGCCGAGGGGCGGTGGAACTGGCGCGGGAAGATGCCCTTTTGGCTGCCGTGGTAGAGGTGCAGCGCGCCGTCTGCAGTGGATATGACCGCAAGGAAGCCAGGTGCGCCCGCCGCGTCGGCGGCCGCGGCCGCCATCGCCGCGACAACCCCGGGTGTGGCGTCGCCGTCGTCCGCGCCGGCGCCGACGAAGAGTTGCTGCGTGTAGGGCGGCGCGAAGAAGTTGGCGTCGAGCCAGACGCACAGCAGGCCGGCCGCGGTGCAGAGCGCGACGGTCAGCGACGACGACCCGGCATGGGGCACGACGGCGACAAACACGCGCCCCGTGGGCGCCTGCGGCAGCTGCAGGCGGCGCACGGTCGCCTGGAGGTCGTCCTCCACACGCCAGACGAGCAGGCTGCCACGGTGGAGCACCCAGCCATAGGTGCTGCTGACACCTGCGGCAGGGGCGGCGCCACCGCGTGCGGATGCCAGCGAGGGGCCGCACAGGCCGGCTGCGGTCGCATCTGGCAGCACATCGTGCACTGAGCGGGGCAGCAGATATGCGCTTTCTAGGGCCTGCATACTGCTGCTATCTTTATGCAGGCGCCCTGATCACTTTGATAATCGAGACCACGCAGCGCCGTGCACCGTGCTGATGCTATCAATTGAAACTAAATGACATGCTGATGGCTTCTTAATGACCAAGATCGACGATCCACACGGACAGGCCCAGATCTCAGCAATACGATCTTGTTCTCAAAAGGTTCGAAATGGTATGATTAATTCAAATCTTTGCATCAACACCGTGGATAACCTGTAGATGAAGAGCTCTCTCGCTACCCTGGGGTAATTTGGGGGCACGTGTACGTACTGCTGCTGCCGCAACTGAGCCATGGAGCCAAAGGGCGAGCCTCCTACTCACATCCTTTCCCCGCAACCCCCTGGCTGGGCAGTATGAAGAAAATGCTGTAGCGCCTAGAATTGTGACGCCAGCCATATGCCTGCGGTTTTGCGCATGCTACTCATTTACCCTCCACACCCCAGCTAGGCAGCTGCAGGGTAGCCACCCGAAAATCCCAGCGCCAACCGCCGCCCTCGCACCGCCGCACCGTGCATTATCGCCTCCACCTCTGCACAATGCTCGCAACATTCTGCAGGAGTTCATCATCACCGCTGCCGCCGCGCCGGCTGCCGCCCTCGCGCGTGTCCCTCCTCCACGGGTCCCCGTTCGAATCCTCAGACAGCTCCCTTGAGGTGTTGACCCCGCCGCCGCCGCCGCCGCCCATGCCGTGGGCGTCCTGCGTCCCCCAGTTGCCAAACCTCTCCACATCCGCAGCGTACGCCCTCTCGCGCGCGAGCTCGTACTCATCAGGCTCGCCCTCTTCCTTCCAGTCGAAAAACCTCTCCTCATCCGCAGAGCGCATCCTCTGGAAGTACGCCCTCTCACGCGCGAGCTCGTCCTCGTCGCGCTCGTCCTGCTGCTTCTGGCGGATCGAGGCGTTGAAGTCATGCTCCGCCCAGTGCGCGTCGGAGCGCAAGGGGGCGCGGCAGACGCGCCTGCGTACGCGATGTGTTGTGAGAGAGCCAGAATATGTTTACCTGGGGGATTCTACCAGGGTGAGCAAAGAAATGCGGGCTGATCTAGATGCGAATCTTGCACGATTGCCTTGTGTGTGTACGTGTGTGCACTTGTGCATGTGCGTGCGTGGCTGTGCAGGGATGAGGGTGCAGACATGCAGGCATGCATGCGAAAGTGCTGGCGTGTGTGTTTTGTGTGTGTTTTGTGTGTGTGTGTGTGTGTTTTGTGTGTGTGTGTGTGTGTGTGTGTGTGTGTGTGTGTGTGTTTGCGCATGCGCGCGTGCGTGCAAGCACTTGCGCGCGCACAAGCTGGTGCTATCGTGTACGTGCGCATCTGCATCACAAGCGTGACTGCATGTGCGTCCAGCCCACAGGTAGGGGAGCAAATGGCTTCACACCTGAGGTTCACGAACTCGTAGCCGTCGCATGTGTGGCGGATGACAATTCCGTGGGGAAGCTTTTTGCTCTGCAAAAGTGCGCCAGTGGGGTTAAAATGCGGGCAGAGGTTGCACTTGTGCCACTTGTTTGCAGTGTGCAGTCAGGAGCCAAAGCGGCTTCTCATCAATTCCTTGCTGTCCACTGAGCATGAGCTGGCACACTCTGTGCATACAGGGGGTGGCTTGCGCCAAGCGCCAAGGCGCGAGCATTGCAGCTGCACAGGTATGGGTATGGCCTATTGCGCTATCACCTGCTCCGGGTCGTATCCCACCCCTGCCAGCAGCCAGCGCATGAGGTGGTAGTCGCTGAGTCGCGAGCTGAGGCCCGCGCTGGCGGGGGCTGCGCGCCGTGCATGATTCAGCGGGCCGCAGGACGACCGTTTCAAAATGCGCAGCGGCAGGCAGGCGGGCGTGTAAGATGCATGCCAAGAGGCTTGGCGGAGCGGCTGTGGCCGCAGCCTCTACGCAGTGCTGCCATGCCCTGTTGATGTGGATGACGCTGGGCACGTATTTGGCAGATTGGTTGCTGCAACCCCGGCAATCCCCACCATTCACTCGTCTTCAAGGGCCCTGCGACCCTCCCCTTCACACGTGCGCATCACCATGCCGCCCACACTTGACACAGCTCACTTGAAAACAGCGCCGAGCGGATCTTCTGTACAGAGGACGCCCTGCAGGCAAGGCCATGAGTGGATGGCATGCAGAGTGGTGGTGAGGCAGTGCTCCTGGGCTCTCGCCATGCTCCTTATTCAGGTGCTTGCACCGCACCGCAGCCTGATGGGGACGAGGCACCAATGGCACTGACGCCCTCGCTTATTACGCTGCTCCTGGAGTGTGCAGTATGCGCCACGCACCTCAGGGCGAAGCGCCGCCTCTCGGCGTACACGAACCCCCGCGTGCTGTGAGCAAAGATGAGGCGCGCGAGCCAGGCAGATCCGTCGTCCACAGGCACCCCGCTGGAGAGGGCCCTGCTTGCGATCTGCCCCTGAAAAGGATTGGCAGCAGCAGCAGCAGCAGCAGCAGCAGCAGCAGCAGCAGCAGCAGCAGCAGCAGCAGCAGCAGCAGCAGCAGCAGCAGCAGCAGCAGCAGCGGCGGTGGCGGCATCGGCGGCAACAGCAGTCGCAGCACCATCATAAACAGCAGCAGCATCACTATCTTACGGCGTGTCCCTCAGCTGGACGCTCCAGGCTGTGAACCACTTGGCCTTGGGTGGCAGTTTGCCGCCAGCTGGCGTCGGCTTGGAGATTGCGAAACGCAGCTGGGCGTAGTGTGTCACCCCGGTTCTCCTGCAGAGCACGTGTTGGCAGGGTGCTCCATGGTCTTACGCCGTAGAATGTGTGTGTGTGTGTGTTTGTGTGTGTGTACGGATGTGTGTGTACGTGTGTACGTGTGTGTGTGTGCACGTGTGTGTGTGTGTGTGTGTGTGTGTGTGTGGGTGTGTGCGTGCGCGTGCGTGCGTGCGAGTGTGGTGTGTGTGTGTGTGTGTGT